TTCTAGTATTGTATTTATAAAGTTCTTCGAACGTTCTCCAAATACGTCCGTCAGATACATCGCGCACTACCCTTTTCTCTTTTGATCTTCTCGAATTTCACAAAAGGCACGGAGATCCAACATGTCTATGATATACTCAGAGAACGCACCCGCCTGTGCTATCCGGTCATAATCGCTACACGATAAAAACAATTTTTCATTTCATGTCTCACAGAATATATAATTTGATATGGCATTGTTTGTTATCGTATACTTTTGCGTTAGTGAAACAAATGTGGACAACTTTAAAGTTTATGTATGGCGTTATTACAGCAAAGGCTGAGCGAATGGAGAAATAACATTGTTCAGGCACTGTGAGACTATTAAGGAAGGTCACATGCAGTGCAATAATATTCCAATTATGTACTGCCACAAAATATTTTACAGTAGTGATGCGCGAGCAGAACAGACTTAAGAAATTACGAGTTGGTTCGTGTAGCATATTTGGTTGTGCTCCAAGAGAGACAAAGTGCTATTCTATTGGGACATCTAGGGACACTTGCGAGGACAAGGGGGCAACGCATCGCCCTTTGTTCACCACTGAACCTTTTAATCCCTCGACAAACATGCACCTCACAAGATTTGCCAACACCACAGACAAGGCGTAACTGATACTGGCAGCAAGAGCGAGTGCAGCTTGATAAGGCGTGTTAGCTTACGTAGTACTGATTTCTTTGTCAGGCTCTTTTGTCGATAAGAATATTGAGGTCATGTGAACGTTGATTTGAAACGTACTAAAATGTGTGAAAATGAAATTACATGAACCAAGTAATTCACATGATGGAAACATATGATCATCTTGCTTGAGTACAGGTAACATGAAGGTGTATTAACCGTTCATATACATACCCCTGAAATCCGGTATGATACATAAATATCTAAGGTGTGTAAATATTTGAAAATTTGAAAATTTACATGTGTTTCCCCACCTAAGTAAATTCACATGTTTCCAACCCGAGTAAACTTAGAACGAAATTGGAAGTTTTAGCACCCATTGAAATTCAAAGGAATGCATTGGAAATACTGTATGATCATGTATTTACTGGGGTATCCTTGCACAATTCGGTCAGGGCATACATGAACGAGGTGCTTGTGCATACGAAAATGTACGATGAGCATATGTTTCAAAGGTATAGATTCATATGAAATATATGCCCGAAGTTAGGAAATATCTGAAAACATACGTAAATCCGGTCATAGCATGTATTTCTACTGTATTTACGTTTATTTCAATGGTTTACTATCCGGCTTTTGGTCCTGTGTAATTAGTCACAAGCAACCTATGTTGGTCGTGAGAGACGAGGCCCGTGAAAATTTCGGTTAGAATTATTCTTCAACAACCCACGTGCGTCGCTAGAGGCGACTAACGGGATCGGGTGGTCAGACTCGCTGACTTGGTTGACACATGTCATCGTATCCCAATTGCGTAGATCGATGCTCATGATGCTGATCACTGGCTTGTCTGGACCAGACTCGATTATTTACAGACCACCGCCATTTTGCTGGAATATTGCTGAGTGCGGTGTTAAACAACACACCAACCAACCAACCAACCAACGTTAGAGGCACGTATCGGGAGATCAGGCTTGGTTCATGCATGTCATCGTCTCCCTTGTTGTGTAGACCAGTGGTGATGACCGCTGGAATATTGCTGAAAAACAAACATGCAAACAAATAAACAAAGATGATAGGCGAACAAATAGATCGGGTGGTTAGGTTCGATGATTTGTTTGAAAGCGTGTGTTCGTATCCTGACAGGATGGACTGTTGCTCACACTATCGACCACTGGGTTGTAAGGTCCAGACACACAGATTTACAGACCTTCGCCATGTAACAGGACTGTTAAATGTTATACGACAAGAAAATAAATGACCCACATGCTGCCTCAGAATGAAAACAGCTGAATGCCTTTTCTTATAATTAGCATGTATACTGAACATTAAAAGTTCGGTATCATGAATGCTTTTGTGATGTATTGATTAATTGTGTGCACGGTCTTCACTACATATAAAATCCTTAGACACATTCATGCTCCCTGATATTTTCTGTTTACTATATATACATTGGTGTGGCAATGAACTGCGCAAGTTGTTAAGAACGCTCAAGTCAATTTAACGATTAGCTTATTTCTTATCCGTGCGTTTAGAATCGGGATTTGTCGTGGTTTTGAGGTTAGATATATTAGTGTTATAATATGTCATATGATTGTTTTCCAGCAATTTAACCTGTCAGTATTCAATTCAAGCAGCAGATGCATCAGACAGCGTGCGGTTGGAGTTTACAGACGTTGACGTTCAATCAGCTGAATCTTGTCGTTATGACAGCATCGGCGTGACAAATACAAGTAATGCATTAAACTATTTCTGAATCTAAACATTGAATGGTACCAAGAACAAGTATGCAGCGGTACAGCGGTTTGACGCACCGCAATTCGGTGTGGGGTCTGATTCTATCAGGATGTGCTGATGGTGGTTTCGAATCCAAGGTTCGCTCTGATTAGGATCCCTGGTTTGGTCAGCAACATACCCGTGCGTCTGGTCTTTACTTGCCATTGCGTGTGTTTGTGACAAGAAGACCATTTGTCATAGACCTGCTTATGATACCTTCGGAGTCGTTCTGCAGTATAATGGGCGTTAGATCATGTGTACAACGACCATCACAACACCGCTACAGTGATATGAAATTGATGTAATCAGGAACACGTATATAGTATACAATAAAACCAAACTCTGTGCCTACATTATACTGACCATTGTGGCTATGCACATATTGGCTGAGTCACAGCTGAGTGGATAACACGATGTGTGCATAAATCAATATTGTCACAGTTTCAGGTGGCGATGACCCAGTTGCCACTATCTGTGGCACGGCGACCTCACGTTATCAAGGAGGAAATAACATGAAGGTCACATTCATATCGGATGGGTCAAAGGTCAATAAAGGATTTTCGGCTGAATATCGGAGTGTGCCGAGTGAGATTTATTTATCTATTTTCATGTCATTGAAGTAAATTATAGTAATACCAAATAATAAAATAATAGTTATAATAAACCGATATTAATGATGAGGATTATTTAGATCTTCGTTGTTATAATGTGAAAGCATTCATTCTTCCAAAACATTCGGTTTAAACACTTACTCATTTTATTCTTTATACTTTTCTGGTTTATTGCCTTTGTTATTTTTACTGTGTTCTTGTATTGTCAGATTGTACATGTGAGTACAAACATGTTCGATCACTGTATGGTCTTTAAGATAATGCACTAAAACAAGACCCATTTTCAAGTTGTAAATTTGTGAAATATGTATTTCCAAAATCGCAGTTTTCAAAAGTAATATATTAAATATCTATCATCTGTCCTAGCTTTTGAATCAGCTAAATTTGTTTAGATTTCACCTATTTCAAAATGTGGAAATGGTGCGCAACAGAATTATTTATTCCACTGATGTTATTTAAGATGTTTTTAGCAATACAAAGTAGCGAGACATCTTTTATATTTCGTATCTTTCAGAGGAAGACTGTTCCATGCAAGTGGAAGCAACAGATACGGACTCTTTCATCCTGTCGCCAGGGTACCCGACTCAGTACTTTAGGTAATACTATACAGTATTTACTCTGCTCATTTGTTCTTGAACAAATATGTCATTGTAACCTTAGACTTATTTGAAGTCGTAGTGAATAATAGTTACGTTTACATTTTGTGGTTCAGCTCAGAAGTGAATGTGTATTGTTTGACCCCGTAGTCACATATCGCGTCAACGTGTACGAAATCGAGGATGAACCAGCCGAAACAGTGCTAGATTTGTCCAATCTCCTTGAACCAATTCTTAGCTAAATTATGATGCCGAAAATGCTCGTGGTAGATAGATGATAGATAAGTAGAAGAGTTCCTTGCAAAGATAGCGAAGTATTCCAAGCAAAGATAGCGACATGTTTACTCTGTGAAAAAACCCGTGAAATCACTAAATCTATATCTCTGTTACGGAATATGGGTCAAAGTTATTGTTGCCAGTGGTTACGGCTGAGTAACAATATTTATAAAGGTGAAATATAGTGGACGTCAACTTGATATATGATATGAGAAACACCGAGTTTCACTTGATGAAGGAGTAAGAATATACCAGATTGCTGAAGTTAACACTACTAGATTTTCACCCTAAATGTGTAACACTTCCAAATTCCATTCAAAGTCCCTAATTGATTTGTACCTGATAGTTTTTATTGGTATAAATGCTATTGTCTAGGGGAGCTTACTCCAGGCGTGTCAACATAGAAAGAGTCCTTGGGGTACAAATGGAAAGAGACTTTTGACAAATTGCTGCTTACAGACTGACATTTTCATTCTTTAATTTAATTTCTGTTCCGCTTTGCAAAATCTATATACTTGTCACCATACAAGTGACGTATTACACAGTGACCTGCCATGAAACGTCAGAAGGTAGTGTGCACATTTTGTGATCTAGGTAACTTACTTATGAGCAACTTGCTTAATACATATTTTACGGTAATTGATTCCACTGATAGAGACGACATGTGAAGACTCTTTTAACATCACAATTGTCACAAACTTCCAGTACAAAGCGACATATATAGGCCCTGCGATGTCCAAGAGGATATCATGTAGAAATATATAGGGAAGATAAATATACAGATCAAACTTCTTAATGAGACATCCGCAAGTATAACTAACAGTTCTTCTGGAAGGATTATTTCCCGATAGCTACGTGAAGCATTCATACTATGAATGAAGGATGACACAGGATAGGTGGTGATGCACCTTACAAAGTCAGTGGATGATTCGTTATGTGGCACTCAAAGTGTTCTGTTCATTACATAAAAGAGGTCTTTCGCTAGATAGATTAAGGTTTGTCATGCCCTGGTTGGTAACTGCATCCTTCTTTTGTGTAAATGAAGCTTTGTTCCTCCAGTAACCTGAACTGCCGCTGGACAATCGTTGCTATGGACAACGATGCTGTGGTGGAACTGGTTGCTGCCACCTCCAACATCGCAGACACCTCCACATCTTGCAGCAGCGACAGAGTGACAGTGATGAACTGTAAGTTTCTGTATACAATTTCTGTATACAATCTTTATTTTTATAAATACAAAGTGTTGACTAAATACAAGATTATGTTACTTAGTTCAGCAGTTGTAAGTCTTAGAGAGCTTGCTGTGAAATATACATACCTAAAGTGATATCAAATTGTTATACACCATGAATACAAACGCAGGGTTAATCAGTATTGTGGGCGGAGGTGATGTAAACATAACAATATCGTCGTACAATGTTGGCTTGTAATTGTGAAACTTCCCTGGATTTCGTAATGATTTATCTCAAGCTACAAGCTTGATTTAACGTGACAGAAGCTTTGTCAAACTACCTGATTTTGCAATTTCATTTTATACACATTTATGTAACACACATATATAGTATAGGACTTAACGGATAAATAAAAAACTTTCAGATGAGTTTAAAAGTCTGAAACATTCAGATGTTCAGCCGATATGACATTTTGGTGATGTCGATAACTGTAACACATATTCATGTGAATGAAAACAAGTTTCATGAATGAAAACAAAGTACATCTGTCATATGTATGAAGTGTGTTACCAGGTTCGTAAATTTATATGCTCACCTTCTATTACCACCTCAGCTAACACAGCAGAACTGGGGACATTCTGTGGAACAAACACACCTACATATGAGAGTACCGGACCAAACATGACTGTGATCTTCACTACTGACGCAACCAACCAAGCAACAGGGTTTCGTCTGAAATACAAACAGAAACAAGGTAGGTCACGTTTCAAGAGATTCATACCAGTATAACTCATGCCTATTAACTTTTGAGTTTATAAGGGGAATAGCGTTTCGTTCTAAATTCAAACAGAAACATCGATCACGTTTCCAGAGATGCATAACAGTATTTATTATCTACGAGGGCGAAACAATCGGGGTTAATATTTTTCATGCGATGCTCTAGGGCAAAATATCACTTTGTCATGGTGACGTGACATCATGAACAATGCTATGTCGTCACGTTTCTTCTATGACTGCGTTCTACATGCGTCGACGGCGGGTAGCCAGCCTATGTTTGAAAGTAGATTTTGGTTTATTTTCCTCAATTTTGACGACTTCGGTAATACATAGAGCATTATATTCGTGCCCACATCATACTAAAGTATGCTCTGGCCAACATTTAGACACTCTTGTCGTAAACATGACATGGGCACTCATGTAATATCCTCTGTAACTCATATAATATTAGTTACACGCTGTTTTGAAAGGGTGTACGGGACTGTAAAACCCTTGTAAACCCTTGTAAATTCTGTATTTCCTGAGGCGCGGAATTTACAAGGGTCTTACAGTCCCGTACGCAGCCTCAGGAAATACGGAATTTTCAAGGGTCTTACAGTCCCGTACACCCTTGCAAAACACTGTGACGAATTTATTACCCTTAAGATCTTTATTTAGCTTATATTTTTAAACAACAACTTTCAATCATCGGCAGAATGAGACGCATTTAACGTTTAGCCATGATTTTTCCTGAACGGTCATAAAGGGAGATAACCCGGGAATGGCTTAGTTTATGATAAAAATTATCGAATTTGAGGTCTTGTTAAACCACAAGTGAAATACAGAAACATTATATTTTTTTATATATTCTGACACAAACAAATAAGAAATTATGACAACTATTTTATTACTCTGTTTATACTCATAATTGTATACGCCAACAAATTTCGAAGCGATCAGCCGTTTGGCAGCCACATTCCATCTAAGGTCAAGGTCATCCGTACAACCCGTGTAGTGTGTCACATGACAGATTTGACGGGGTATACGGTTCGTACACCCTGGCAAATCCACCTACAGCGGTGGGGTAGCCAGGTGGTTAAAGCGTTCGCTCGTCACGCCGAAGACCCGGGTTCGAATCCTCACATGGGCACAATGTGTGAAGCCCATTTCTGGTGTGCCCCGCCGTGATATTGCTGGAATATTGCTAAAAGCGGCGTAAAACCATACTCACTCACCTACAAGGTTTGGTCTGCTTTGGCTATCGACCAGTCACAATTCGACAAATTTATCTTGAGAGTAATAAGGGCATTTATACAGGAAATAAGAAAAGAAGCAATGACATGTGTTTACGCCATCACAGACGGCATATTATCACTGTCTGTTATCTGTTGAGGGATTTCATGATTTCATGAGTCACAGTTGTAGAATCTCGACTCTGCTTTCAGCAGAGAGATTTCATATGGATGTGGAAAGGGTTTTGTTGCTTCCTGTTTAATATTCAGTGCAGATTCTGTCAGATACAAGTGTAGAATGCCTATAAGATCGAGGTGTATTTAAGGAAATAATTATTAATAAATTTAAATACAATGAAACGTTGCATGCATCTTTGGGCAATATTCCCTTGGGATAAAAGAAACGCGAGAGTACCAATATATCATATGCATTGCTGTTTTCGGGTTACTAACTTCTAGGGCGGTGCAGTATTACTGGTAAACCGGTATATACCGGTACAGTATCTTGCTATACGATATTCGCGATATGGTTCAGATTCTGCAATATATTGGGTCATCCATAGTTAGCTCCCTTTGCATTATCTGTCCTTGATTTCCATAGCAAAAAAATGTGTTCTAAAAGTGCCAAATATACTTTTATTTCTGTTGGTTTCATGTAACATTTTACAATTGGGATAATCTTTATAAGTGGCTCCAAAAGTGCCAAATATTCTACCAAATGCGTTACGTTTTGTGGGTTTGAATGGTTTCATATGTGACAATTTGGAGGAATGAAGGGACCACTCATAATTTATGGCTTGGGGGGTGATGATGATTTTTATGGTAAAGCATGTACAATGTGAAAGCCCCCACCCAAAAAAAAAGATTATGTACAAAATAAGTCACACCCCACCCTGCATGTCATGTACAAATCAATGACCCACCCTCCCCTTCACATAATTTCTTAGCATAATTTAAAACATATTATTATATACAAACTTGCTGCCCCCCCACAGTGCGTGTGTACAAATTGCTCCCCAGAACTAACCGAGTGGAACCCCCTATCCCCACCCCAACCCACCCTCTTAAAATCAAAATCATCATCACCCTCCCTAACCATAAATTATGAACGGTCCCTAAGTGGCCTCAAATAAACCAATTCTTCAGTAGAGGCTCTGGCTCTGAGTGGCCATTTCACGATTCCAATTATTTTGTTATATTTGTTTGTTTCATAATATACCATGTGTTTCAATTTACCGTAAAGGCCTAAGTCTTTCTAAAGCTTTAAGTCTTACTAACTGTATAACGACATCCTAGTCAAGGAGCTCAGTTATTGGAGGTCACATGAGATGTTTAAGCTCAAGTAGTTCACCTAAATCTTGTTTTTGTTTCATTTGCAATAGTTTATGTCAACACATGTTTTATATTTGAGTTGAATCTGAATTAATCACTGACATACAGTAACAATAATTGCAAGCTGCATTGAAGTGCATTCTGTTGAAGCACTGACCATGAAGCTTTTGTCATACTATTACTATACTTTATCATTATGTTCTCAAACGTTTGTTGCAATACCTCAATTAAACATTCCAGATTAAGGTTCTATATCATTATATTTATCTGTAAACCACTGGCATACAGCCATGCACAATGAGGACTGGGAGCCTGAAAGTATGGTGTAACAGCAACTAAGAAGATAATGTAGCACACAGAGAGCTGTTATGAATTTATGATGTATGCACTTGGGCAGAAATACTCCATTCAATATATCACAATATATATTGCAATATCTCTTAAATTATTGCAATATATCGCAATAGGAGAATCAGGGCAATATCCAGCCCTACTAAATTCGTATAGTAAGCGATTTAGTAAAGATCTTGGCATAGATCAGAGCATGTGTGGAGCGAGTGCAGCAAAGACATGCAGTAGTTTAGTGAAGAGCACTACAGTTATATAGATACGCAATAAATACACATACAATTGTAATATTATCTGAACTGAATCGTTGAAGCAATGAGTGATGAAATGACATGAAGTATTTTCGTATAGGTGGAATTCATGTAATATTTTTACTTAAAAAAAAAAAAATGTAAACCGTCACATGTCGCCCGACGGAACGGACATCAGACGGAACCAACTTTGGACAAACTGTTTTATTTGTTGGGTGTTTAATGCAATGACATCAGGTGTATTTGCTGATGATATGTTTCAAGCCATTTGTTTTTGTCATTTACTTCAATAATATGAAGTAAGTTAAAGCTCAATGACGTATGACTCTGATATATGTTTTACAGTTTCCCACAAGTAATACCGTGCCATAATGCTTTACAGTCACACCTCCACCTTCATCGTGTGGAGGGACATTGACAGCTTCTGTTCGCGAACAACTACTTTCTCCAGGTTATCCAAGAGCATATCTGAGGTAAATTGAAACATCCTCGTGTTCAACTGATTACCGAGTGCTTATATGTAAACCTTTAAAGAGATGAAGTAATTTAAACAAATATTGTTAGGTTTTTTGTTTGTGTTGGTAAGCTTCATTTGTCTTACCATAGGCATTTCCGGTATTTTCGCGTCATCTTATGTTGGAGGAAATCTCAAAAGTTGATATTATGAAGGGAAATCTCAAAAGTTGATATTTACCAGTATGAAGGCACCGATTAGCATGGGTTAGGATCAGTGCCTGCAAGCTGAATCTTGGGGTGAAACCTCCGATCAACCTACGCTATCAAGGGACTCGCAACTCACAATTCACAAAGAATTGCTATGGTCTGTTTGTCCACTTGCGTGTTTCTTGTCCAGATATATTTCATCTGATTAGTATTACCGAGCAACTGTGTACACAATTATTACTCATAGCAACGAATTAATATGTACTTCGTTTTACAGATCCCAAACATGCACTTGGACAATTACAGCCCTGAATGAAAGCCTCGTCAATCTGTATGTCGATGACATTGATGTAGAAGCTGGTGATCAGTGTCTGTTGGATAGCCTAAAGATATACGATGGTATGCAATTGCATGACTCAATTATGTAATTTATCCAGGGCGAGATTTTTAACACTCTCAATTAGTCGAATTAAGTCAAAATGATGTACATTTTGTTTCATGACACTTATAAACATTCTTCCATTCATTTACATCCTCCAAAACATGAAAAAAACATGTATTTTGAGCAAAAACAAACATTCCCGCCCATGGGCGAGGTATTTTAAATTTTGAGTTTTCGAAAAAATACAGCAAAATGGTTTCATCTTTAGCATATATTCATGATAACTGCATGTTTAATTTTGTCAAATACTTTGTCAGAAACTGGCGACAATGCGGAAAGTGCCTGAACTTTTGGGTTTCCAGAATTAATTTGTGACGTGTTTCCTCAAAACCGCTGTAATTATGACCATATAATTACAACCACAGAACAAGACTTTATATATCATCAGTAGTCTTTACACTGGGCCAAACTTTTAAAACAAAGCCAAATTTTAACCTTTTCCCCCATAAACCTATGTGGATCAGTGGAATGAATAACTCAGCCACTTCAAGATATCTCGTGTACAAAACACGAAAAAACGTATAGAATATAAAAGAAATTTATTTGGATATATGTGTATGTGTTAGTGTAAATTTGGTACACCTTAATTGTTCACAGGGGGTAGTTCAACGAGTCCCCACCTGAAAACTTTGTGTGGACAAGTGAAAGGTTACAGGTTACAAAGTACAGGGAATGTGATGACCCTTGTCTTCACCACTGACGACTCCAACAACGGCAGAGGGTTCAACGTCTCTTATCAACAAACCTCAACTGGTTTGTATGTTTCAAATCAATCTGAGTACATCATGATAAATATCGTTCCAACAGATCACCAAATCATTCGTCACCACTCGCCCCTTTCCGTAACCTCCTATTCGGCTTGTCCCGGAATAACACGAATGGTCACGAATGATCACCAAATGTAGACGTAGCTCTCCAGTGTTGGGCTTTGTTCATAAACTATAATTCGAATAATTAAAAACGTTTTAATTTCTAGATACTGTATGAATAATGTGGATAAAGTTCTTTCTGTTTGTAAAAATATATATGGCGTAGAAACTCACGAATATGTTACGTCCTCTTCCTTTCAATGTCACACCCGTGAAGATCCGGGTTAGAACTGATCTTCAGTAACCCATGCTTTTTGTAAGAGGCGACTAAGGGGATCGGGTGGTCAGGCTCGCTGACTTGGTTGACACATGTCATTATATCCCAATTACGTAGATCGATGCTCATGATGTTGATCACTGGATTGTCTGATCCAGACTCGATTATTTACAGACTGCTGTCATATTGCTGGAATATTGCTGTGTGCGGCGTTACACAACAAACAAACAACACACTTTTCTATTTCAGGGTTATTGAAGTCCACAGTGTAACTGTATTTTGTTGTTTTCCATACAGAATTAAAGTGCTCCGGAACACTTAAAGCTGCAAACACATATTCCTACATCACCTCACCGCAGTACCCGAACCCCTTCCCAGGGTTTGTATTTATATTCTAGAATAAGGACTAAACAAAGTTGTCCTCGGAAAATTAAACCTCGTTAGTCGGGACTCCTTTCTTCCAGAAACTCCATTTTTCGGACATGCTGTGAATGTACTCGTTTTATAACGGTTAATAACGTTTTGACAGTGTGGCGACAATGTTGGGCAGTCTTAAAAGAGGGAGCTGATAAAAATATATCAGTCTGTATAGCATCGTTTTTTAATACTGAATTCTATATGGAGAAAAATCTTAGTCTCTGTTTCAAATACAATTCATAGTTATCCCATTCAGTGTATCTCATTTTATCGTGATAAATAACCCGACCAATTCTTTTGTGGTACCAAAGATAAACGTGATGTGTCACTGGATAAATCATATTTGTAAAATTCAGGAAACAATGACCATTGTAATATTATTAATTCGCGTATATTTCAAGAATACCCTTATCTCACTCAAACCTTTCTGTAACAACATCCTAGAGAAATGTGATGCTTGTGTTGAAACGTTCAAAAAATCAAGTACACGTCCTAATGTACAGACATGACATCAAATATGAGACGCTGTACATGTGACATGACGTAACAATATGAATACGGACAAGCGATTCAGGATCCTTGGTCATCCTGCAGACTTCCAAATGAACAACCCGTGTTAGTAATTGATCTTCAGTAAGCCATGCTTGTCGTAAGGACGACTAACAGGATCGGGTGGTCAGGTTCGCTGACTTGTTCGACACATGTCATCATATCTCAATTGCGTAGATCGATGTTCATGCTCTTGATCACTGGGTTGTCTGGTCCAGTCTCGATTATTTACAGATGATAGCTGGAATATTGCTGTGTGCGGCGTAAAACTAAACTCACTCACTCCAAATAAACACTGAGTGTATGTGTTTTAGATATATCTAACAGTTGGTACCTATCAATATGAAGGTGAAAAAATGAGAGCTGTCAGTATACTCAAACATTCAAGTGACTGGGTTCATACAAGTCTATCAATACCTCCTGACGATTCACAGACTGAAATTTGTGAAATATCAACTCTTACGAAAGGCCATATTGAACACTTCACATTGTGAAAGAGAAAATTTGTGTTGTCTGTTTGAAATCAATTGTAACTACTTTTTGAGTGAGTATAGTATCTTTTCGTATCTTGGTATTTTCATCTGGAAACAACATACGAGTATTCCGAAGAGTTGGAAGTTTGAAAACGCTTCGCATGAGACAAGCATATTACACATCAGGGTTAATAAAGAAACATTGCTACTAATTATGAAACGATACACATAAAAGTAACAACGTCCAAGTTAAAGTTTGCTTCACCATTGCTTTAAGGTCATAGAGTGAGTGAGTTTAGTGTTTAGCAATGAGCTAAACGAGCTTTAACCACTAGGCTTCTCCGCCCACTCAAATGTAATGCAATACCGATCACTACATGATATAATGTTTATGAGTAAACCTTTTTATGAATTGTACCATAAGGCTGAACTAATTATGTAAAACCTTTTTAAATTTTAGTAATGCAAGCTGTACGTCGTACAAAATAATCGGCGAATATGGCCTTGACTACAGAATCAAACTCGAAGTGCTGGAGTCAAATCTCCCTGAACCAGTAAATGGCGAGTGTACGAGCGACTACATAACGGTACATGATGGTGAGTGGATTGCCATTCTTTTAACCACTTTAGGTTGTGGCAGAGTTTCAAGTCTGTGAAATGATATGATGTATGACATATAGTCTCATGGATTATCTCCCCATTAGCTTATCGTTGTACATGTCATTTTGCCTAGTATGACATTGCTGTATTCCTTGGATTTGTTCTTGTTTGTGTCGTGTGTCCTAAACTCGCTCTTTGACAGAAATCAGTACCATAAATTATTTATACATGTGGTGAATAAAGATATTACTTACGTATCTATCTCAGAGGTTCAGGACAGTTCGTTAAAATTGTCATTTCAAGTTTACTGAGAAAACAATATGTAAAATGCTGGACATCCTGATTGATAACATATTTGTAACATTTGGGGGTAAGACATGTAGACAGTAGTCACCCTAATGGGCACCAATAGTGGCCCCCTCCTTGCGGATCCCGTTCTGTATGCACATGCACTTTCTGCACGGGTTGACGAAAATCCAAACTAGGTAGCCAAGAAGTTCATCTTTAACTCTAGGTGTATCAAAGGTCTGGTACCGTCCACTAACTTTTATAGCCAAATCCTTCTCATTAAAATCCCCTCCCACCTTCCCCGAAATAAAGGAGAGTTTGACGTTTGACCGACTGTTTCATATTTAGATCTATGCATAAAAATTCAGAGTGACATGCCTGTATGACAAAAGGAACGATTTCATTTATCTAATAGTCTACTTTTCGTTCATGTCGAGCAATATTCCAGCAATTCAAGCCTTTGGTGTTTACAGCTACAATCGGGCATGCACCTTTCACAGTGATATCGAAAAGTGTCATACGAGTCTCAGAAGTAGTTCGATGAAGGTTACAACATTCAAAGCTTCAGTAAAGCTTTCAAAATGTTTTATGGTATATATGTAGAGGACATTCCAAATTTGATGCATCTGTGACAAAAATGACGTCCGGTGGACCTATTTTGACTTGAACCATATGCTCCCAAGTACCTTCAGGTGAGCAATGACTGGCCTTTGCCTTTGTTTATGGCGGGTGCCAGCGGTTTGAAAAGGATACACATGGTATCATTACTATTTGATACTAGGGCTATGTATTGGCAAATGGATTGTATTGCAATATACTACGATTCAGGTATCCGTATTGCGATATATTGGGAATTTAAGTGTTTGACAGAGAGTGACACTAATTGTGCATGTCAATCCTATTTTCTACATTATAAGTCCCTAAACAAATATGTTATGGTTCTGATAACAGCAATCTCAAAATTAGGTTGTATAGACTTGGATTCTATTTTCTTTTTTATACAATTTATAGTATATATGTCGTTTTTTCATTGAATAACGACGGAAAACATTTGTTGTGAATGTAAGTATGTGTAGATTTTTTTTTACCTATAAAGATAATCACAAAAACTTCATATATGTTCTTTACCCAATATACCGGTTTTCAGAAAAAATATTGCAATGCGTACGTATCTTTTGAAAATCGTATGGCGATATATCGGTATACCGGTAATACCGTGCAGTCCTATATGATACTGATTATACAGTCGACTCTGCTTTTAGCAGGGATTTGTTATTGTTACTTCAAATGACCACCTGTAAAGTGACTAGCCGTTGACGGAGAGGGCAACTGTACGTTCACGACAGTGATTGGTTGTACCATCCGGTGAGGGCACGTTTAAAGATTAGGATCAGATCTTGGTGTTTTATTCCCTGACATGGATCATGCTCGCAAGCGTCTATTTGTCTAACACGATTACTTACAAGTTGCATGCTACCCTTTGTAACATGAATGTTACTGATAACACAATACATGACTCTGTCACCCTGAATACCTTGCCTGATTTCCTTGTGTTTCAAAGGCTGGCAGAGCACTTCGATACCACTCAAGTCCATTAATACCCAGAAGTCCCGCTTCTGTGGTAAGGAGCTGCCGACATTTGTGAGCCCAGCCTTGTTGTTTTTCCAGTTCCACAGTACACAAGCAACAACAAGCAGCAACTTCCGGATGAGATATCAGCAAGGAATATTTGCCGGTAATGTGAATCTTTCAGTGAACTGGGTATTTGACAAGGGAAACCAAGCTCTGTTTCACAAAGTTGTGGTACCGCTACTAGTGTCTTAAGTCTATGTTACAGTATAGGAGGTACGTCATTCGTGAATTCATAGCTTTGTGAAACGGGGCCCAGATGTTTAGACGTTGATTACAATATGTCTTTTGCATCACAATAGTACGTTCTCCACAGATTGTTTCAAAGGCAAGTATCACATATAACACATCTTTTGTGTAATGGATGTATCCAGTGTAGTGTATACAAAGCCTCCCGAAGTGTTCATGGAGAATACCGCACTTCCCAACTCTTGGCACTTCTCAAGAGATATGTAACTCATTTGGTGAATATTTCAGTAAACTAGCTAACCATCTCAATCAGACGATTATGATCACGGCTTTGAAAAAGGTGTTTGTGAGGGAATTGCTTTTATTGTTCACGACATAAGATATTTTCATAGAGATATTGGATATTGCATTTACCCAGGATAAGATCTGGCCCGATCTCCAGAAAGTGAGTGAGTGAGTATGGATTTACGACGCGTTTAGCAGTATTCAAGCAATATCATGGCGGGGGACACCAGAAATGGGCTTCACACATTGTAACCATGTGGGAAATCGAACCCAGGTCTTCATTGTGACGAGCGTATGCTTTAACCATTAGCCTACTCCATCGCCCCTATAGATTAAGGTCCTTTCCAACACACGAGTCTTTCCGTACAGAATCACTCACCTTATGTCTCTGTTTCTAAAGTGAAATCACATATCATACACTAAATTTGATATCCACCTTACCTTAGGAGATTATTCTATCGATTCCAATAGAGGACACCTCTCAGTTCTTTTATACTAATGAGTATTAATATGTTATAATGGCCGACCGCGGTCAACTCGCCACTGTGAAACGAACGGGACACACATGGGTCACATCGGACCCACAACGAGTGCGGCGTGTAGGAAAGAAACTCCTTGTCACTGGTTTATCAATATGTTTCAGTTTCCACTTTCATTATTGCATGTGCGTCAACTTTGATTTGTGGCAATACAGTGTCATTTATAATCTTGGAACAGCGATGCAAGGCGAGCGATACTGTACGGAATATGTAAATATCGCATAACTGTTATTCGTTTTATCTATGAGTACTGATACATTTTGTATTTACGGAGACCGAAGAAGGCGTTTAAAGTTTGTAACAAATAAGGCCATGATTGGTGCAATGACTCAAAGATAGAATGATGTGTAGTTTATCGCATATCTGAAGATGATCAAGTCTTTATGTTATACAATGCTTTGATATACCAGCAGTTGGTGGTGTATATATATTATTATTAACTATGTCTGTTGTAACTCAGATGAATTTGTGTCTCCCTGTGGCGGGACACTGACAGCAACGGATGATGTCCAGAACATAACATCACCGAATTATCCTGGCAATTATACAGGGTGAGATTCTTTCTTGTTGTATATTATATAAGAGCGTGCATACGTGAATTCATTTAATATTTCTGAAGGAAACTTGAATAACTGTAGTCACAAGTCTAGGGGAGATAACTCATTTGCTTTAAATCTTGCCACGTGTACTGTTTTTTTTAATTGCATTGTAATCGTCAATTTGGGACCGTTATGGCTGGGTTGGGGGCGGTGTGTGTTTGTGTGTGTGTGTGTGTGTGGTGATGATGAATTTTTATGGAGAAGCATGTACAAATAAGTAACCCCCCTGCATGTCATGTGCAAAATCAATGCAACCCCCCCCCTTCCCATAATGTTTAAGCATAATTTTAAAATAATTTCATGAACAAAACTGCTGACCCCCCTAGTACATGAGCACAAACTTGATGACCCCCTGCCTCCCCAGAACAAAATGGTGCCCCCCCTTAAAATCATCACACACTCTCACACACACACACACACACACACTCTCACACACACACACACACACACACACACACACACACAGATAGAGAGCCATAAATTATGAATGGCCCCTTACCATGCTCAACATGACTGATAAGATGCTGTGTACCCATCACATGTTGTATTGATGAGTTGAGGGCCTCCTTGAAAGAAGGGCAGTTGTCATAATAAATTATCATATAGCGAAGTGACGTAAGTTTTATGAAAAAGTAGTCTTCCGCCACCGATGAGCAACACGCACTGTGCGCTAGCGCACTTATCATGTTGTTACCGCATGCTACTCATTATAACGCTTGCTAACTAATCTCGAACAATCTTTCTCTTTAGGTTCTTAAACTGTACGTGGACCATTACATCAGCGGATAGCACCAAGATGGTACGGCTAACCTCAAGAAACTTCCAACTGCTTAGGAGGCCATATCCTTATGACTGTGACTCCTATATTACTTGGTTGAAGATATACGACGGTAAGACTAATGACGGGATAATGGATAAATACTAGCACGACACACCGGGCGAGTGAGTCGTGCATTACGCTGCTTTGAAAAACAACATTCAAGGTATAAGACAAAATATGATGGATGTCAGCCTCTTTTTTATTGTATGCACACCGTTTCAGGGCTTTTCCTTGCCCCTTCGTTAGGTAAATGATTCACAATGATCCTTACTTGAATACCAACTTCTATATGCCTCTCAAGAACTTCAACATTCAAGCTATATCATGGTGGGGGGAAACTTTTAAACACTTGAAGATAGGGGTTAGGATTGGTCTTCATCAGCCCCTGCTTGTCGTAAGAGGTGACTGGTGGGATCGGGTGGTCAGGCTCGGCTTGGTTTACACGTCATTGTTTCCGAGTTGCTCAGACGGATGTTCATGCTGTTGATCGCTACACCATTGCTTACAAACACCCCATGCCAGCCCCAGAACACCAGACGCTTGCAGTGTGCGAAATAGCCACTGGCCCGCTAGCCCGTGGTTAGTAAAACTCCAATCGGGCCAGTAAATCTCCACAGCCACTGGCCCGGCTGGATAGGGAATTTTCACGGGGCCATTTATTTTTATGGCATTTTATCTTTTTGTAATCTTTTGGTTAATTTCCTGCCAGTGAATTATTTTGTGGGCTAGTAACTTACAGGCATAGCAAAATTTGGAAACTTTTTCGCACACTGGATGCTATTACCTATTTTAGTGTTTTTATCCACATGTGCTGATAGTATAGTCGCTGTTTCAGGTAACGTCAACAGCACTGACTACGCCTATGAATGTAACAACCAGGCTCTAATGCAGCGTCAGAGCAGTCAAAACATAATGGCAGTGGCATTTCAAACATATGGTTTTTCCGGAGCCTTCAATCTTCAGTACATTCAAACAGCAGGTAACTGTGTAAATTAGATATTGAATATATATTAAAGATAATCATTCTATGTTTGAATTAACGTGTACCTGTGGCACATACTGGTCGTGCAATACGATGGAACTGTTACCAGACGCAGGGGCAGCATGTGCCACAGCTGCAGCGCAAGACAGGTTCATAAAGTTTCGACACCTACGCGATAGGCTCATCAGCTCCGATTGCGTAGGATTTCAGCCCAGACATTAAGGAACTCGTATTCACCCCATACGACCTGTTTGAGACGTCAGTTTGACTGATCAGCACCGTCGGCTGCGACTTCAATGTATGACCACAACAGCGAGACGTGTTTGATTTAGTGACGTTGTTTACGTCGTGTTTACATGCTCGAAACTGCATGCATGAAGTAGACAACTTTTGCGTCGTAGGGGTATTGATGTGGGCTGCCATCTCACATACCGGTAGGACAGACTTGGTACACGTCCAGGACAATTTAGCGGCACAGCGTTACACACACGACATCCCTCGGTCACACGTCCTTCTCATTATGCAAGAAGCAAAACTCATTTTTCAATACGACAAATCCCAACCTGTCTGACAACGGTCTTCTTGAGGACCCGCAACATCCAATTACTGCCTTGACCCTCAAGGTCTTTATATCTGAACCCCCATGGGGTGCTCTTGAGCAACAGCTACAGAACTTCTAACATTAGGTTCAGGTACTGCGGGAAGAGTGGTCGAGCATACCCCAGGCCACAATTCATAATCTGATTGGTTCCATTGGGGAACGATCGCAGGCAGTTCTAGATTCTCATGGGGGGCATATAAGATATTGCGGGAGATGATCTACACCTTGGCATTCAATTGCTTCATGTGTGCCCCGATGAACCTCGGTCAATGACAATGACGTGTACCAAACGTGTGACGTTTGAACAATTTACTGTGATCTGCTGATGCATTTTCTGTTTTACAGAGTATATATTGAGAAACCTGATTAGTTGTATAATACATGAAGTATACATCTGAAAACCGCTTTTGGATTTCTTGTTTTACAGAGTACATATTATTAAACCTGAAGTTATTTTAAAGAGCATATATGAGTTAATATTTTATAGCAAGGACAATCAATACTAACGATACATATATTTTTTCAGAAATGGTGCCGTGTGATTGTGTAAAAGATATCGGCAAGTACGGTACGCTAAACCTTCCTGGAAACGTACAAGGTTCAGTGAGGTAAGTAGATTATCGAAAAACATAATCAAATCTGGTACTATGTGGATAGACATAACTCAACTTGAAACAACTATCAAATAATTACTTCATCATTGTAATTCCTGCAATCTGATTACTTGAATCTTTCGCACGAAAGGCTGCAACAACCGAGAATGTTTTCACCACAGTAGCCTAAGGGGTAATCACCATGCAAGTTGAGGGAAATACCTGACTACTGTATCCTCAAGAACTATTACCGTTGTTTCCTCAATCCTTGATATACTACAAATTCAGTCCAAAATTATCAGTACACTCTCTGAATGTTCGACAATTGTTGCTTTTTTAGAATTAAGCTAAGGGACCATTCATAATTTTTGGCTTGTGGTGGGTGTGTGTGTTGTTGTGATGATGATTTTTATGGAGAAGCATGTACAATGTGAATGACCCCCCCTAAAATTTATATACAAAATAAGTGACCGCCCTGCATGTCATGTACAAAATCAATGACCCCCCTCCCTTTCCCATAGTTTCTATGCATAATATTAAACATATGGACGTATTTTTATGTACAAAATTGCAGACCCCCTCCTAGTTCCCCAGAACAAAATTGGTGACCGCCCTTAAAATCATCATCTATCACACACACACACACACACACACACACACACACACACACACACACACACACACACACACACACACACACACACACACACACACACACACACCCAGCCATAAATTACGAACGGTCCCTAACACAAAACGCCAACACTTGACTCCCTCCGAACTGCCAAACCCGATTCCGTAGGGCATAAAATGGTAAATATATCATGATTATGAAAAGTCTGAATTACAACATATAACGTCTTCGCCAGAGAATAATCAGTCTCCGGTACCTGCTGAAGCAAAGTCCGTGGGACGTAAAAGGCCAAACAGTGATGAAACTATCTTGCTACATAATGAGATGTGTTAGAGCAGGATCTTCCTTCTGTAATAGACCCGTGAAGATCCGGGTAAGATTGATCTTCAGTAACCCATGCTTGTCGTAAAAGGCGACTAACGGGATCGGGTGGTCAGACTCGCTGACTTGGTTGACACGTGTCATCGTATCCCAATTGCGTAGATCGAAGCTCATGCTGTTGATCACTGGATTGTCTGGTCCAGACTCGATTATTTACAGACTGCTGCCATATAGCTGTTTTATTGCTGAATGCAGTGTAAAACTCACTCCTTTAATGGGGGTAAACTCTACGAGGAAATATATACATGAGAGAGTTAAATGTAAGACCAAGGTGGTGGAGGTACCAACCATGCATGGACATGGTGAGCTGCAGAACGTAGTTGGTGCAAGTTGATAAATGTAGTAGCAAATATGTTTTATCCAGATGGTTTTTATAGTGTATGGCAGGTATTGGAAGCATATGTATGTATAGTCTGTTTCGGGGAAAATATTCGTTTTACAGGAATTATGCAATACAGTGTTTCTTTCATTTTCAATAACTTTCCAGAGGCGGTACCTGCTCATGGTTGGTACGGAGAACACCAATGGAGAAAGGCAGGCACATGAAACTGACGTTCAACTCGACTGCGTTAATTAAAAGTCCTAATTGCACGGAGGATTACATAAGGGTACATGATGGTACGTTTTTCTACAATCCTATGTTAAAAAACCCAACATGTCGTGATGTTGTACCGTGTTAATTTCCAAGTTGGAACTAAAAGAAATACCGGGAATCATTCAGAATATGCAGAATTGTGCTGTAATCAAACAAGTGTATTTCTGAAAAGGTATCACTATGGCAGTACGAGATAGAGTGGCAGTAAACATGTGAAGGTAATAATACAAGAGTAGTGATTATAGTTATGAAGACAGTGATGGTAATATTCACCTCTGAGCAACAGTAATTTAACTTGGAACATTCCAGTATCCAGGGCATAAAGATCATCACGAGCAATGCTTGAATTGTGGCTTGAGGGGCGATGGAGTAGCCTCGTGCTTAAAGCGTTAGCTCGTCACGCCGAAGACCCGGGTTCGATTGCCCACATGGGTTCAATGTGTGAAGCCCATTTCTGGTGTTCCCCGCCTTGATATTGATGGAATATTGCTAAAAGCGGCTTAAAACTAAACTCACTCACTCTTGTGGCTTCAGATGTAATGTGAGAGGAGATATTACAACTAGTTCCGATTGTATACAAAAGAAACTGAAACAATAGTCACCGAGGCAAAACAGTCCGGAATCAGCACCTTGTACATAGAGGACATTCTAGATCTCTCTATAATATTCTGAGGTCAGAATATGTCTAGAATTGTGTCTAAATATGACACGAGTCTGAATGTTAACAGGTACACAGTATCATATATTGAACATAAACAATGAATAACATTGTCAGAAAGGAGTCCAGTAATGAATATCGAACTGAGAAGGTGAGAATGAAATCTGAATGCGAGGCGCATTGGTTACTGGGAACGTCAGCAGCAACAGCATTAGTAATACTCGTAGTAGTAGTAGTAGTAGTAGTAGTATCTGTTGTAAGACCTTGATCGAGTCCAGTCCATTCGAGGATCAGACAATCCTGTGATCGATAATGCGAGAGCAACTATCCTAGCCGTCGGTTTACAATGACCAAACCATCATCGTCGTCATCATCATCATCATCATCATCATCATCATCATCATCATCATCGTAGTGATATCTTCTTACCCTCGACAGCATATCTCACGTTTTTTCAATTCTTTTATTACAGAAGTGTAGGCCATCGGCCCATAACTACATAGGTTGCATTGTACATGGCGAAACATGGTGTGTACAGTATAAATTGATAATTTTAACATCTTAGATACATTGAATGATAGATAAAGCTAGCTAAGTTATTTATAAGTTTACAATCTGATGGTGACATGAGGAGTTTGAATTTGTCTTTACTTGGATTGATACAATAGGTTTTAGGTAAATGGTCGATCTGTGGACACAGAGGTCGTCGACTTTGAAAAAAGCGACACAGACGCAGTGATAGGCCAATGCAGAAACGCCAGCTATATGTTACGAATGCTCGGGGTCTTACGTATTCCGAGGCGGCGGGGTAGCCTAGTGGTTAAAGTGTTCGCTCGTCATGCCGAAACCCCAGGTTCGAATCTCGACATGGGTACAATGTGTGAAGTCCATTTCTGTTATCTACCTTCGGGATAGTGCTGGAATATTGCTAAAAGCACCGTCAATGTAAACTCACTGTATAATTCTTGGATTGTCTAGTCAAGACTCAATAACTTACAGATTAGAATAGTGCTAAAAGCGGCGTAAAACCATTCTCACTCACCCATCACATATTTAAATTTGTTTTTGACAGTGTTCTTTTTTGTTTTCAGGTCAGTGGTCAGCGAGCCCTTTAATTGGGCTCTTTTGTGGTGAGGATGCATCAGTGCTTCTTGTATACGGACAATACATCTTAATCAATGCGTCACTGACAGGGAAACGGTCTTTTGAAATCAGTTACTCATCAGGTTTGTTGATAAAATTATGCTTCTTTTGCGACGACACTTATTATTTGTGCCATGTGATAGGCGATGTGATATACTGAGGGACAAAAGAAAGTTGACCGAGTTACATAATTATGAATTTGAAAAACTGAAAAAAACTGTATAACCTTCGAAAAGTAATTTGTATTTTGGTCTAACATATTTCGTTCAGTGAACACTGGGAAAGGAAATAAATGTACATCCACATAGTCCCTACTATGTTTGAAAATATAATTTGTTTTCAAGATGTCAAAGATATACTTCAGTACTTGCGAACATTTTAAACAGTTATGTTTGAAATAACATATAGAACTATTCTTTGAGACGCCATTAGTCTGTCTTAAGTCCCTGAACCACATTATTTTCCCTAATGCCCAGCCCTCCCTGCAATGCTAAAGCCCTAGATGAAGCAAGTCTAGATTTCCCCAGGTTCCTGAATATCCCAACTCATTGGGGCCCCTCGCCGTGATATAGCTGGAATATTGCTAAATGTGGCGTAAAACCCAAATTCGCTCACTCATTGATCCATCAAGGTCGCGGGATCGCGGGGTATTCGCAGCTGTGTAATTGCTTCCGCAAACTGAAATGTCAGTGAGCCATATTTCACTCAAATAAAGTTGAGTTGGAGCGGGGTTTTTTCCCTTGTGTGAGATATAGATAAACATAAATAACAATATGAACACCACTTTAGTAATTACCATGTCAATCATATTCTGTGACTGTACTTTGAAGAATTTTTTTTGGAATAATCTGCGCTTATCATCGTAATATCCCGAGGTTTCTATGGTCAGAGTCAAACGTTCCGATTGCTTTCTTGGCATTGGTGCGTTGCCCTGATCACGTGACTGCCTTTTCCTGGCGTGCTCAAATCATGACGTCATAAACGTCTTGAAATCATTGAACAACTCTGGCCCTTGTTCAGATAGGTGTTGGCCCACCTTCTGAAATTAGTTGTTAAGAGCCGAAGTGTTCTCCAGCCACAGGCCCTCGTGTCTTTGCGAGGATTAAAGATTCGAGCATTTCGAGTCGGGGGTCATCTCAAATTTCTATATATTTTTTAAAACCTTTAATCCTCGCAAAGACACTAGGGCCTGTGTCTCCACCAACATCACTGCAGGCTTACCTCCAACATGAATGTGCCACGCCGTGATATCGTCACGGTAAAAACACCCAACTCACTCCGACTTGTATGAATACATGTAGCCTATACGAATAACGGAATTAAATTATTTTTCAGTTTCAAACATTTTGGCAACACAAACGAGGTACATTTTTTCCAACGAGAACGGTATCATAACCTCTGTTAATTATCCTCTCAACTACCCAAGGTAAGTACATGTGAACTCTGTTCAGTGCCCATTCAACTTCTCTTGAAAGATGTGTGAAAGGTCTCAAGTTCATCTTTTGATATGTTCATGGCTCACTGCATTGTTTGACCCAATGTGCATTGCGCCAGCTTAATAATTATATATTGCTTTGTGCGGCTTTGAAAATATGCTGAAAATGTTTGTTTTTTATGTCAAATGCATCAACGCCAGAGTGAGTAGGTGAGTATGTTTTTCGCCGCTTTTAGCAATATTCCAGCAATATCACGGCGGGGGACACCAGAAATGGGCATAACACATTGTACCCATGTGGGGAATCAAACCAAGGTCTTCAGCGTGACGAGGGGACGCTTTAACCATTAGTCTGCCCCACCGCTCCCATGAACACCAGAGAATACCCAGTCTTGACCATTAGTCAATGAGGTAGACATAATATGAATGGATCACTGAATTTCAGTGACATAAGGAGATGTAATAATGTACTGGTAGTACCAGCTACTGAGAGAAACGTGCATGAAAAGGAATTGTTTGTTTGTTTTGCAGGGATGCTGAAATTATGTGGACAATTAAAGCTTTCGCTGAGACAGTTGTCGTGGAAGTGATGTCGTCACAAATAGAAATGTCTGAAGGCTGCGTCAACGACAGAGTTGAAGTATACGACGGTAGGTATTATGTCATAAGCATTCAGGCACTGAAGGAAAAGAGACAACAATCACTCATTACAAGACATCTCTTCTGTGAAAACCCGTATGGTTTTCCCACCAGCAGTATAAA